ATATTGTATATTATTATAGAATTCAATTCTATGTCTTATAAAATATAATCTTGACATTTTTATACCGTACATTGATCTTATTGCGAAATAAGATTAATTTATTAATATTATTTTTTTATAATAAATATATTTTTATATAAATTACGATTTATTCATATATTTTTCATATTTTCAACTATTATTATATTATTATAGTATTCATTTTGTGTCTTAGATGTGTATAAGAGACAGAAATATTATTAGGCTTTTTTAATATTTTTTTTCATTTCTCCATCTATTGTGTATTATTATAGAATTCATTCTGTGTCTTATATAAATATAATCTTGAAATTTTTATACCGTACATTGATCCTATTGCGAAACTAAATATTTCAATACGATTTATTTATGTATTTTTCATTTTTCCAACTATTATTATATTATTATAGTATTCATTCTGTGTCTTATATAAATATAATCTTGAAATTTTTATACCGTACATTGATCCTATTGCGAAACTAAATATTTCAATACGATTTATTTATGTATTTTTCATTTTTCCAACTATTATTATATTATTATAGTATTCATTCTGTGTCTTATATAAATATAATCTTGAAATTTTTATACCGTACATTGATCCTATTGCGAAACTAAATATTTCAATACGATTTATTTATGTATTTTTCATTTTTCCAACTATTATTATATTATTATAGTATTCATTCTGTGTCTTATATAAATATAATCTTGAAATTTTTATACCGTACATTGATCCTATTGCGAAACTAAATATTTCAATACGATTTATTTATGTATTTTTCATTTTTCCAACTATTATTATATTATTATAGTATTCATTCTGTGTCTTATATAAATATAATCTTGAAATTTTTATACCGTACATTGATCCTATTGCGAAACTAAATATTTCAATACGATTTATTTATGTATTTTTCATTTTTCCAACTATTATTATATTATTATAGTATTCATTCTGTGTCTTATATAAATATAATCTTGAAATTTTTATACCGTACATTGATCCTATTGCGAAACTAAATATTTCAATACGATTTATTTATGTATTTTTCATTTTTCCAACTATTATTATATTATTATAGTATTCATTCTGTGTCTTATATAAATATAATCTTGAAATTTTTATACCGTACATTGATCCTATTGCGAAACTAAATATTTCAATACGATTTATTTATGTATTTTTCATTTTTCCAACTATTATTATATTATTATAGTATTCATTCTGTGTCTTATATAAATATAATCTTGAAATTTTTATACCGTACATTGATCCTATTGCGAAACTAAATATTTCAATACGATTTATTTATGTATTTTTCATTTTTCCAACTATTATTATATTATTATAGTATTCATTCTGTGTCTTATATAAATATAATCTTGAAATTTTTATACCGTACATTGATCCTATTGCGAAACTAAATATTTCAATACGATTTATTTATGTATTTTTCATTTTTCCAACTATTATTATATTATTATAGTATTCATTCTGTGTCTTATATAAATATAATCTTGAAATTTTTATACCGTACATTGATCCTATTGCGAAACTAAATATTTCAATACGATTTATTTATGTATTTTTCATTTTTCCAACTATTATTATATTATTATAGTATTCATTCTGTGTCTTATATAAATATAATCTTGAAATTTTTATACCGTACATTGATCCTATTGCGAAACTAAATATTTCAATACGATTTATTTATGTATTTTTCATTTTTCCAACTATTATTATATTATTATAGTATTCATTCTGTGTCTTATATAAATATAATCTTGAAATTTTTATACCGTACATTGATCCTATTGCGAAACTAAATATTTCAATACGATTTATTTATGTATTTTTCATTTTTCCAACTATTATTATATTATTATAGTATTCATTCTGTGTCTTATATAAATATAATCTTGAAATTTTTATACCGTACATTGATCCTATTGCGAAACTAAATATTTCAATACGATTTATTTATGTATTTTTCATTTTTCCAACTATTATTATATTATTATAGTATTCATTCTGTGTCTTATATAAATATAATCTTGAAATTTTTATACCGTACATTGATCCTATTGCGAAACTAAATATTTCAGTACGATTTATTCATATATTTTTCATATTTCCAACTATTATATATTTATTATAGAATTCATTCTATATCTTATAAAACGTAATTTAAACGACAAGATACGATTATCGAATTTCATATATATTTATACACAAGGATGTAATTATTTAAAAAAAAAGAAATGTATCGTAAAATTGAATTTAGAATTTTCATACATTGATTTTAACATTAGTTCGATTATAGTTCAAAATTATTTCATATATAAAATTTAAGATTAAATAAAGATCGGACGAAGGCGTAGAAACATCGCATACAGATCCGCGGTCTAATTGCGATAATCTCGACGGTAGGTGCACGCGATTCAACCGACATCGTAGCGAAGGGGGCCCGAAGAATGTCCGCCATACAGGTTTCACCGTGTGTACCTGAGGAAAGATGGTGGCGGTGGCGCGCCAGCGGACGAGTCGCTCGGTGTCGTCGGCGGTTCTCCCTTGCTGCACGCTATGCTGCAATAAATGGCACCTCTTCGTGGCAGGAATGGTCGTCCGAGAAGGGAGGTACGGCAAGTGGCGCAGCAGAAGCAGGCCTCGGTCGCGTGCCAGTGCTGACCCTCGTGCGACATTTGCCCCTGATCGACGCCGATCGGTTCGCCGCAGCTGTCGCAGTACTCGGCGAACGAGGCGTCGAAGCATCGCAGACAGTACGGCCGTCCTTCCCTCATCACGTACCTCTGGCCCCCCAGCTGGAAGAAAAAAACATGCAGATTTTAGCCAGGGATCGCTGACCCCGCGAACTTCTTCTTGGGAGATAGCCTGTTCCCTAAAAAAAAAGGATCAGCAAACCAGCAAACCACAGACCCGAGCAACCGAGACTTCGTTGGCTGAGACTTTTTCGGACCGAAGTTGCGGACCTCGGGGTTAATAACTGAGGAGTTAGTCGACTGTTCGAGGCTTCGGGAGATTTGCAGGGACTTTGGAGCTGAAGAGTCTTTAGGGTGAAGTTTGAGATCTAAGGTAACAGTTCATGAGAGATGCTACCGAAGTTGCTAAAAGTCTTTAAGGTTTCACTGGATCAACGACTTTGGTCTTTCGGATGAATCACTGGGCTTATATTTGAGACTTAAGCTAAAAGAGAGACACTACTGAAATCATTAAAAGTCTTCGAGGTTACATGGGGTCACTGACTTTGGTTTCCAAATGCGAAGAGCTTCAGGTTGAAGTGTGACATTTAAGTTGAAAGTTCCTGAAAGGCACTGCTCAAATCGCTAAAAGTCTTCAAGGTTACACGAGTATGTACAATATATATTGTTAATGTTATACAGGGTGTCCCAAAAATGTCTCGCAATCCGAAAGTAGAGGATTCCTGAGGTGATTTAAAGCAACTTTTTACTTAGCGAAAATGCAATCCGTGGCTTCGTTTACGAGTTATTAACGAAAAACTGTGACCAATCAGAGGCGAGATCATATGGCGCGAGACGGCTGAGCCAATGAGCGGAACTGGGCTCTGCGCACTCATTGGCTGGGCCGCCGCGCGCCTCTTATCGATCAGAGTTTTTCGTTAATAACTCGTAAACGAAGCTTCGGAGAAAATTTTTGAAAAGGAAAAAGTTGCTTCAAATGACCTCAGGAACATCTCATTTCTGGATTGCGAGACATTTTCGGGTCACCATGTATATGATGTTAAAATTCAACCCTGACTTCGGTTTCCAAATGTGAAGAGTTTCAGTTTGAAGTGTGACATTTAAGTTGAAAGTTCCTGAAAGGCACTGCTCAAATCGCTAAAATTCTTCAAGGTTACACGAAGATGTACAATTAACCTTTCAGGTACGGCTGAATTCTGTGCGAGGCTATTTCTCTGGACGGCAGAGTCTGATGCGTACTGTACAGAGTCTGATACTGTATATTTTGTCTGTATATACAGGGTGTCCCAAATATGTCTCGCAATCCGAAAGTGGCGGGTTCCTCAGGCCATTTGAAGCAAATTTTTCCTTTACAAAAATGTTCTCCGAGGCACCGTTACCGAGTTATTAACGAAAAACAGTGACCAATGAGAGGCGAGCTCAGCTGGCGCGAGGCGATCGAGCCAATGAGCGGAACTGGGCTTCGCGCGCTGGTTGGCTGGGCCGCCTCGCGCCAGCCGTACTCGATTCTTATTGATCACTGTTTTTCGTTAATAACTCGTTAACGGTGTCTCGGAGAACATTTTTGTAAAGGAAGAAGTTGCTTCAAATGATCCGAGGAGCCCGCCATTTCCGGATTGCGAGACATTTTTGGGACGCCCTGTAGACTGTTGTAAATCGATGCGAAGACAAAAGAAGTGTGAAACAATGCATATGAAGACGATTATTTGGTTCAAACGATGAGCG